GATATATATATATATATATATATATATATATATATATACCGACGCGTTTCATCCCCCTTTACTCCAAAGGCACTCTGCATTATCGTTTCATCCGCGACAGGCACGTAACATTTTATAGGCCAAACGTTCATACGCCATTTAAGCGGACAAGTTCACGAGCAGAGTTCATTCCATGGTGATTTACGGAGGAATCCTTTGACAACCTCTGAACTTTGTAGGCTAAACATAGAGATGGCTTAGAAAACAGAATTTCAAGTAAATAATTAATTGATTTTTATCTATCGTCTGGTTTCGTCGCGTTGATAAAATTAATACTAGGCAGGAATCTGTTTTGTATTAAATCGTTACGACATTTTTATTGGAACTTTGATAATCTAAGAGCCTGTTAAACAGCTTTTGCGCTATTTAAGGATTATTATAAATGTCACGAGTAGATAAAAATGTTATATACCATCAACAGAAAAATCAAGATGCTATATATAAGAATAGTATTTTTGTTCCTTAGAAAATGACTTCCGTTACTCCAAGAGATTGCTTTTATTACGAAATTGTTACATATTTTTAAAAAGTAATATATTTATTTGATGATTAAAAATTTTTGTTTTTTTTTTTTTTTATTAAAGAATTTTACATTTTTCGAACATTTTTTTCATATGACGAATGAAATTTTTATGTAACGATTGAACATTCTTGCGTAGAAATGAAGTTACATCAACGATATTGTTTGCTGGTATCATTTACAGAGATGGTTGAGGCGATGAAGAAGGTAGCCTCACTAGATGTAGAGCTCACCGTCGAAGAAAGGAACCTTCTCTCGGTAGCATACAAAAATGTGATCGGGGCGAGGAGAGCCTCCTGGAGAATAATCTCGAGCATCGAGCAGAAGGAAGAGAATAAGGGTGCCGAGGGAAAACTAGAGATGATCCGCCAATACCGATCTCAAGTGGAAAAGGAGCTCAGGGATATTTGCGCTGATATCCTCGGCGTCTTGGATAAGCATCTGATACCATGCGCTTCTACGGGCGAATCCAAAGTCTTCTATTATAAAATGTAAGCATCCATTTATATATTTTTATCCGTTGATTAGCGATTAATATTTAATTTTTTGAAACAAAAGAATGTAAAAATTTGAAATTTTTTTTTTTCTTTCATTATCCTATCTTAACTTTTTTTTAAAAAAGTTGCGAAAGAAACTGCTGAATGGTTGCAAGGTGTCGTGTTTCAGTGTACAATACGAATTATTACTAATCCGCCGTCGATGCGCTTTCAGGAAAGGTGATTACCATCGTTACTTGGCAGAATTTGCCATCGGTAACGACAGAAAGGAAGCGGCAGAGAACTCCCTGGTGGCATACAAAGCAGCGAGCGATATCGCTATGACGGAGCTACCACCTACTCATCCCATTCGCCTGGGATTAGCGCTCAACTTCTCCGTGTTCTATTACGAGATTCTCAACAGTCCTGACAGAGCATGCCGCCTAGCGAAAGCAGCTTTCGACGATGCGATCGCCGAACTGGACACGCTGTCTGAGGAGAGCTACAAAGATTCCACTCTTATAATGCAACTCCTCAGGGACAACCTCACCCTATGGACGTCGGATATGCAGGGAGATGGTTAGTGTCCCACTTACTTACGGAAGCGAAGTCGCCGTGGGGATGTTTTGATTATGCTAGAACGCGTTACGCGACATACCCCGCGACATACCCCACGACATATCTTGAACGATCGATACACAGACGAATACTCTGCATTGTGATGAAACGATCTTATCTCGAATATTCTCGTTTCACGCAATTTACCTAAGGTGTCCCAGAAGCTACTTTCCTTTTATTGATATACGAAGGAAGATGGCGAATTTTCGAACTTTTTTTTTCTAATGAACATGTTCTAATGAACATTGGAAAGAATGATAAAAATTATTTATATCATGTTCATTGAAAGAATTTTTTCAGCTCTATAATTCTAAATGCAATTCTTTCTATTCCTATTCCTTTATTTCTATTCCTATTTGCTATTCTATCCCTATTTGCTTTTGAAATTTTTGATAAAAAATTAAAAATGCAACATTTAAAAGTATTGAAAAATTTTATTACTAAAAAGAATACAAATAACATTTTCAATATATTTTACACGCACAAATTTAAAAAATATGTCTTCTTTAAAAATACATTTCTATATAATTTTTATATGATTAAGTTTATCGCTGCATTTTATAAAGCTTTACAGCAATAAAAAAATCATTTACAAATGTGAATTTTACACGTTTTTTTAATTATTTACAATTTATATTTTTTCTCTAGAATTGACAAAAATAAGAGAATAGTGGTTAATTTAATCATGAGTTGTGAGACATTTTGAATCTTTATCTCTTACATTTCTGTTTAATTTGATTTTTATTTCTTTTTTTTATTGAAAAAATCAAATTATGCAATTAACGAACGCAGAATCATTGTTTTGTAATTCAGAATCCGAATCTGATCAGCAAGACGATAGCGCTGTTGATATCCATGATGCCTGAATGTAACTATATCCTTTTCCTAACGTCCCCACCTTCCAACATATCTGTATCTGGTGAGCGATAAAATCCTTATACAATCGTTATCACATTAAAAAGAATAAAGAATATCACAAATAAAACTTATCCAGAACTATCTCACCAAACTGTTTCACTTATCAAATGTCATTTATTTAACTTGCATTGATTAGGCATATTCAATTAGATTAGACTCACTGACATAACATCCGTATTTTTGTTGCACAGGTGAAGCCGAACAAAAGGAGCAGCTGCAGGATGTGGAAGACCAGGACGTATCGTAACTCTAGCTGTAGTGAGTGTTATCTTGCGTATATAAAACTGAAACACAAGAAAAAACTCTTAAATAACTCGTAAGCAAAAGAAAAAAAAACCAATTCAGCAGGTGGCAGTTCGGGGTGGGAAGGGGAGATCTTTAGAAATTTGCGTGATCCTTTAAAAAAAAAAAAACCACGCACCGTATGGTTACTTCAAAAAGCAAAGCAGCAGCAGCAGTGACAACAATACAACAGCAACGGAATTAATAATAAATGAAATCGTTCAATTCATTCGGCATTATATTATGTACACACTTACACATACACACACACACACACACCACATCACATATATACACCTATATACATATATATGATTGAGTTACAGAGCACGCAGAAAATAACGAAACAAAAGTACACATCCTGCGGTAAATAGACTGCAAAGCATTTAGAAGAAAGACACTTTTTAATTGCCCCGTTTTTGCGTATTGAGAGGAAACGCCGTGTTTGCACTTCATATGTATCCGATTGACGTGCGAACGACAATGACGACAACGACATCGACATCGTCGTCGTCGTCGAGCCGACGTCGATGCTGGCGCTGATCGGTATCTAGCCTCGGTAATTAAATCCTTGATTTCCGTCGCAGCGATTAAGAATGAATTATGTGCCCTATACATGTTTTTTGCAATAGCGAAAGAGAAAAACAGAAAAGCGCACGAATTTGCACGAAGTCATCCGGATATATTTATGTGTTTATTTGTTCTTACATCTTCGCCACATCGGTTTCTCTTCCTCCGATCCTCCCTTTTCGTTCCTCACTTTTATTTTTTTTTTTTTTTTTATTTTTTTTAGTGTCGCGCACGGTCATCTCGTATGTATTGTAATTTTTACGGTATTAGCATGTACGTGTAAATCGACTTATTTCGAAAATAATTCGCGCGTTAGAAATAATTTCCTCTCTTCTCGTCCCTCCTCCCCCCT